CCACCCCAACGCCCAGCTATTTTTTGGTTGTAGTTGTTGTTTGGCAGGCCCAGACTGGATTCGAACCCGCCAGCTCTGGTGTATGTGGCTGGCGCCTTAGCCACTTGAGCTACAGGTGCAGAGCCGACTCAGCATTTTGTCTTTTTCTCTCAAACCCCATCAGACCCCAATCCTTGTTCCTTCTGTCCCCTAACTGTTTTATTTGTCTCCTCTTTGTCCCCTCCGCCCTAGTTTCAGGTCTTGTCTTCTCCCTGCACCTCTGCCCCAGTCTCCAATCTGATCCCTTCCTGGTCACAGAGGGGTCTTTCTATATCCAGAGGTTCCCCTGTCCTTGTGCTCACAGCCCTGGCAGGGCTCCCCAAGGCCTCAGCCACTGCTGCAGATGGTGGGTCCTGGAGGTGTGCAGTGTGACACCATCCTCTGGACTGTTGGAGGGGCTGAACATCAAGAAATTTATAAAATGGTTCCTGTTGGCGGGTGCAGTAGCTCATGCCTGTAATTCTAGCACTCTGGGAAGCCAAGGCAGGTGGATTGCTTGAGCTCAGGAGTTCAATACCAGTCTGAGCAAAAGGGAGACCTTGTCTCTACCAAAAATAGAAAAACTAGCCAGGCATTGTGGGTGACTGCAGTCCCAGCTACTGGGAAGGCTGAGGCAGGAGGATGGCTTAAGCCCAAGAGTTTGAGATTGCTGTGAGCTATGCCTCCAGGGCACTCTAACCTGGGGCAACAGATTGAGACTCTGTCTCCAAAACCAGAAAGTCCCTGTTTTGCCTCTGTGTGGGACTATGTCTGTGTGGTCTAGATGTCCTATTCTTGCCCTCCCCCCATCCCATATACACAGAAAGAGCCAGACATTCGGACAAGGCATATCCAATTACAGATCTGGACTCAAACCTGCTTCTGCCACCTGCTTGCAGTGTGAACTTGGGGGTGTCACTTCCATTTTTGTGACCCACTTTGCTGGATGGAGTCTGAAATTCCTTGGGGCTGAAATTCCAATTTTGTAGAGCAGCAACCCATTGCCATATCCAATATCCTTCCTTTTTTGTCGATGATTGCTCAAGGGAAAGTTATGGGCCAAGGGGACCCAAGGGGAAATTTGCTGAAGGCTGTGGGAAACTTTCCTTGAGAAAAGAATCTAAAAGGGCTACCTCTCCATCTCTCCTTCCTTTGGCATTTGATTACCTGGAAGAGGAGCGATGCTTAGATGCTGAGAGCTGCTGCAGCCATTTTGTGCCCATGGAGATTGCTGCTGCCCTCACCTTGCAAGTGGCAGCGCGCTAAGATGAGACCTTTGTTATTTTTAGTTTGTTTGGTGCCTTGCAGCCAAAAATGTCTTTGCTCCATTGTATTTCTTTCTGGCTAGAGCTGATTCTGCCCAGGAAGAATCCCTGACTCCAAAAGTAGCCAGTTGTTGGCTGGAGATTGGGCTGCAAATGAATATCTAGGCCAGACACTTTTTATTTTTTAGAGATAGAGTCTGACTTTGTTGCCCTGGGTAGAGTGCTATGACATCATGGCTCACAGCAATCTCCAGGTCTTAGGCTTAGGCGATTCTCTTGCCTCAGCCTCCCAAGTAGCTGGGACTATAGGTGCCTGCCACAACGCCCAGCTTTTTTTTTTTGGCTGAGGCCAGGTTCAAACCTGCCACCCTCCGTATATGGGGCTGGCGCCCTACCCACTGAGCTATAGACACCACCCGCCAGACACTTTTTAAAATTATTTTTTATAGAGACAGAGTCTTACTCTGTTGCCCAGGCTCGCTGTAAGGTGAAACTCCTGAGCTGAAGTCGTCATAGGCATAATTGGGGTTTTTTGGTTGTTGTTATTTCTTTTTTTTCGTTATCATTGTTTGTTTTAGACAGAGTCTTGCTTTGTCAACTGGGCTAAAGTGGGGTAGTGTGATCATAGCTCACTGGAACCTCAGACTCCTGGCTCAAGTGATTCTCCTGCCTTAGCCTCCTGAGTAGTACAGGCATCTGCCACTACACCTGGCTAATTTTTTCAGTCTTTGGTAGAGACATGGTCTTGCTCTTACTCAGGCTGGTCTCCAACTCGTGAGCTCAAGGAATCCTCCTGCCTTGGCCTCCCAGAGTGCTAGGATTATAGGTGTGAGGCACTTCGCCCAGCCAATATTGCTCTTCTAAAAATCATTTTATACATATAGAAAGGTTGCAGGAAAAGTTCAAAAAATACTTTTATACTCTCCATGTACATTCCCCGGTTAATATTACACTTGCCTTTTTTGTTGTTGTTCATGTTTTTGAGACAGAGTCTCATTTTGTTGCCCTTGGTAAAGGTCAATGGCATCATAGCTCACAGCGACATCAAACTCTTGTGCTCAAGTGATCCTCCTGCCTCAACCTTCCAAGTAGCTGGGACTACAGGTTTCTACCACAATGCCCAGCTATTTTTTTAGAGACGGAGTCTTGCTCTTGCTTGGGTTTGTCTTTAACTCGTGAGCTCAGGCCACTCACCTTGGTCTCCTAGAGTGTTAGGACTACAGGTGTGAGCTACCACTCCCAGCCTTGCCATTTGTTTTATCAGTTTCCATATATGGAAATATAACACATTGTTAAGGGCTGAATTAAATCTAAAATTCAGTGTTGAGCCCCTAGCCTTAGAATGAGACTATATTTGAAGAAAAATTATCCAGGCATTGTGGCAGGCACCTTTGGTCCCAGCTACTTGGGAGGCTGAGGCAGGATTGCTTCAGCCCAGGAGTTTGAGGTTGCTGTGAGATATGATGCCACTGCACTCTAACCAGGACAATAGAGGAAGACTCTATCTCCAAAAATTAAAATAAAATAAAATAAATAAAAAAATAGTACAGGTAAATAAATTTGAACTATGGTGATAACCCAAACCACAGCACATAGCCAGTTCTGGTTGGTGCACCTCTGCGATGTGCCTGTGGCTCCATCTAGTGGTCAGTGTTTGGGCATAACGTCTCAAAGGCGAAAAGAGGAAAGCGTGAAAGAGGCACTTTACACAGCACAGTATGATATCAGCGATCTCACTGTGTGAGAGGCTAAAGACGTCTGTATGTCTTTATAAAATGTTGTTATAAAAATTTCCAAACATCTCCAGGGATAAGGATTCAGGAAGGCCCCCTTTAAGTGATGTTTAAGAAACACTGACCTGGCTCGGCGCCTATAGCTCAACCGGCTAAGGCGCCAGCCACGTACACCTAAGGTGGCAGGTTCGAATCC